GAGTAGTTAAATTATAAAATGGCGATTCAAACGAATTCATTTCTTTATTTCTTCCATCAGAAATCAGTATAAAACATAAACATAAAAGGAATTTCTATCTCTAGGGAAATTAAACGGAGATTGTTGATCCGGAACACGAAGAAACTTGAAAATTCAATTCTTTTTTTGTAGTTATATGAATTGTTCAAAAATTCTAGAATAAATATATCCCATTTTTGTAAATTATATATGTATATACAGGTTAAATTTTTGTCTACATCTTCAGAGTTCATTTGTATCGTTGTATCTCCTCTTTAATTAGTAACATCTAAAGTTTTCTATCCACTAGAAGAGTGGATAGAAAGAAGAGGTGGAGAGAAGCGTTAGATTCTCTCTCCACCTTCGAAAATGAAGTGTCAAATCAGGTAAGTTTGCGTGAAGTTGTCAAACTATTTCTCCTTCCTCTCCGTGACAGACGTTTATACCTCCGGGGAATACTCGTCGATCTGTAGAAAGTGATGCGCGTGAATTGTTTACTTTTTTTATTTTTAAATCGATTGAACAGTTAAGATTGCCCAGATGTGAGATGAAAGGTCTGAACCGCCAACAAAATTGATAGAGATTCTCCTACCGTTCGATATTTTCCACGTGGGAATGACGAATTGTGGTAATATCGTTTTTCCCTCTGCATCCTCATCCCTCATTCCTCTCTTTCTTGGAGCGTAACTACCAAACTAAGCATTTGTCAACTCGGTCTACTTCATAAAGCATTGGAGGAAAGAAGAAAAAAAATTGATTTTTCCGACTAATCTTCTCTCATCCGTAAATAGGTATTTGTTAGAAAATGATCTTTAGAAAAACTTGGCTCTCTTTATGTAGACAATATAGAATTTTCTCCAAACCAAAAAAAAAAAAAGTAAATAACGAGAAGAAAATCGATTAGAAAAGATTCTCTTCTTCTTCTTCTTCCTCTCCTTCGACTTATTTTGAGAGATTTTTGATGTGCCACTCGGCATCTTCCTATTCTAAAGTGCTAAAGAAAACCATATTAGAATCTTATTTTAGAAATTCTTTAGAAAGTAAAACGAAACTTTTCAGTATAGAAACTTGCGGATTTTTACAGTCCACACAAACTCAAACATTTTCTGATAAATCCTTTGAGGATTCTAAATGAAATTTCCGTGTCGTCTTTCATTCTTTAGATAATTCTAAAGTGCGATTGGCATATCTTTTAGGAAGAGGAAAGTTTTCCAAAATTTCATTTTCCAATGTTGGATTGCTCTATCAGAAATCGAACGGATAAAGAATTTAAATCTAGACCATTCCTCCTCTTGGATTACGATGAAAAAAGATATGATCCTATTCTAGAAATAGAAAGTTTCTGCCAAACTACAGTACCTAAAATTCTCTTTTTCTATTAAATTACTTTCTTATTTTCTCAGCAGATCTTATATAACTGATTGAGGGATGTTAATATCATCGATTACTCAATTTTTACCTAGTGATTTGCCCCCAAAATTTTAATTAAATGGCCCTATTTTATCACAATCATTCGGCGTGACTTATGAGAACAAACTGTACGAGAATGGAGATCGATCAACTTGGAGAGTTTATTAATTTCTCTGTATCGTCGACGTGTTGGGAAAATTTCTCGTGTGTTTGTGTCGACTTCTGACCTCTAGTTTATCAGTTCGCGACCGCTTAGTTGTTGTTCCCAAATATTATTTTCTTTTACCAAAACATGTCCAACATCAATTAACTTCTCTCGTTTGTAGAAGTTGGCAGGAAAATAAATAGGCGAGGTGATAAGTAGAAGGTGGCTTTTTTTTCCCTTATCTTCCCGACCGGATTATTGGATTTGGTGGCATCTAATGAAATTGTCTCGTTGACCTCCCATAGACATTAACTTTATCGAACGGCACAAATCAACGACGTAAAAAAAAATTACAATTAGTTATTCGATAAACATTCCACAACTTTTTTTTCCGTGGGAATTCTTCTTAAATCGATTTTAAACTCGATTAGTACCACGATTATTCACTCCGGATGGTTAATTACTTTCCCGGTTGTTATATAAGCCTATAACAGAGGGAAAGTTTGTTAATCGGTCAAAAAACGACCTCCAAGAGTTACCTTTTTGGACTTAGAACACCTTGAAACGTCGAGAAATGCAATAAAATTCGGGGGTAATTTCTATATCGAGTGTGTGAGGGGACACGATTTTTTTCACCCTGTTTGAAGCTTAATAACTCCTGTGTTTTTTGCCGAAAATTTCTGAAATTTTGTAGGGTGGTTTGTATATTAGGAGGATTGATGGTGTTAAATTTTGGTGGTTAAAGGTCGAGGGACTTGAGAGATAAAGGGGATCGTATGTAGGGTCGGACTTAATGACGATTTTCCTCTTTAATAGCATTTAAAAGCTTTTTTAAAACTAATCCCTACCCTTAAAATTAAGCTTTAGTTTTCGGGGTGAGTTTTATGACGTAAAACAAGCTCTTTTTTTCAAAAACCACGTTAAAGTTGACAACAATAGAGATGAAGCTAGATAATTAGTATATGTTACTACTGGTATTCTATGATTTCTATTAGCAAAAAAGCAAATAATTTTATAAAATGATAAATTAGTGGTTGGTAATTTTGTCATGTGTTTCGAATTTGTAATGGAATCGAGTGATTTGAGACGATTTAACTAATTAATTAGTTGGTTAATCGAATGATAAATAAAGAGGAAGATCGGTGATCTTTAATGACGACACCTCACTTAATTGCTGTTTTACTCGATTGTCCTTTTATCCAGTTAATGAAGAGTCACCATTTTTCTACTTTAAATCTTTGCTTCAACAAGTTGCAGAGTTTTATAATCCAATAAATTTTGTTCGCGTGTTTTATTCTCTGGAGTAACGAACCGTTTTAACACAAACTTTCAAAAATACTGTCGAAATTTAAACGTTTTACAAGTTGAAGAGGAAGATATTTTGTTCTTTCAGATGATATTAATATTGTTTTTTTCTTTTAAATACTGTTTATTAGGCTGCAACTTGAATAAATTGTACACCTATAATTTCCACTGTTCCACTCGAGAATGATGTTAGATAGATAAAATCCGAGATAGGATATGGAAACTATATGGGCAGGAAGCTCCGATTAACTATGTAGAAACTCTCGATAAAAAATAAAAACCGGAATTTACGTTATTTCAATTCAAAACTTTCCCCTGAAAGCAGAAAATAAATGACCGGCACGACTCTAGTGTTAAAGGAAAAGTATGATTTACAGGGGCAAGCCACTATTTATTTGAGAAGGAGAGCATATATTTTAGGCTATAACACCCGAAACTTCGTTAGGTACACCTCAATTAATAAAAAACGGCATAGTTTTATCAAAATTTTGAGAATAAACACAGTTCTGTAAGTCACGTAAGAAGAGGTTTCGCCTCAATTAATTAACAGAAAAGTAGAATAACTGCATTTTCTAACTATTCTACGGAATATCGAGAAGATAAATTTATATTAAATCTAGAATATAGAAAAAAATATAGTAACAAAAAGTCATTACCAAATCTCTTTTAGATTTTGTATACGCAAGAAGTATTTTTATCTCGTCGATACTCTTAAAAGTCTGCCAGTCGTTGAAAATTAAATGTTCTACACACTCCATTAAGTTACATATGGCTAGAGAGAATGGTTTGGAAGAGAATTTTCTTTTCTATGCCGTTCTACAAGAGTTCTGGCACACGTTTCTCGAGTTTTTCCCTAGATAACGACATAAAAACGGATCTACGGTTGGAAGAAAGCCATATTTCATCGAACGACCTCCAAAATTTTCGATTCTTGTAATCTAGAAAGCCGAGAAATCACCGAAAAGTATTATATAAGTCAAACTTTTACTAGTAGATACGAGTTGTACGCACTTTTATATTTATAATATAAGCATCTTGGAGTAAGTTTTTATCAATTTGACAGTTTAAACCGGTAATTATTCGTCTTCTAAGAGTTTCCGGAACAACATTTCGAGTTAATTAATACAGAATTCTTTAATCAATTAGTATTAATTAAATTGAGACATTTGATAAACTCGGAGGATGCAGAAAGGAGCTGTATTGTTGATTAACTTGAGCGAAACTTCATAAATTTTAAGTAAATCAGTAGAAATAGAGTGGAAAATTGAGCTTAAAACTCCAATTGAATTATAAATTGTATGATTCGTCTTAAAATTTATTAACGTTTTATACGGGGACAGTAAAAATTACACGTTTTTTCGATACATTCCAAGATCTCTTCTAATTTAATTCTATCCCTCGAATGTTTCGAATCAATGCATTAAAAATAAATAATTTAGAAGTTTTAGCGAGAAATTACTTCCAAAAGTTATTTTGAAGTAGAAAATTAATCCAAATTAATTAGTTAATGTATAGTTAGATAAGTCGGAAAGAATTTGGATAATTGTAATCCAAATTAATGATTGTTACAAGCTGATTGTTGCATTACCTTTCAATTAAGGAAAACGGAAGATCCGATCCGAATTCCTATTACGACACAAAGAGCCGAATTAATCGGGCAAAAATGCCAAATTATCCGTTCTAATCCTTAAGAATAGCATCTAATTCGATAATTAGAACATTTAATTGTATTTGGTTATTATTACACTTTTCATTTATCCTCTAGAATCGGATTAGAAATAGATTATCGTTATAATACACAACGATTTAAATTAGTTTACGTAGAAAGAAAGCCAAAATTTATTCATTTATCACGTGTATTTTTTAATCTACTTTAGTCCAAACTGGTTACAGAAATGGTTTCATTCGTTTGCGAGAAGAAAATACTCGAAAATAACCCACCCTTTTAGTTACTATCGTAAACAAATAAACAAACAAACACGAGGAATCTTAAAGGAACTGGGTGAAAAAAATTAGGCTATATTTTAATTTGATAAGTAGAAGAATTCCAGCAAACGTGGTTAAACTTCCTATCGATTTTCTTAGAGGAACGGATTTTAGGGAGGTGAGTCTACTCCTGTGACGTAGCGGGGTGGCAACAGATGGCTCTTAAAAGGCTACCGTCGCGCCATCTAGCCAGTTATCTACCGACCACATCGGTTCGGACTGACACCAGAAGGTTTCGAAGGCATCCGCATCAACGTTTCATCTCTCGGACATGTCCCACATCCACACAATCGGGTAAGTTCTCTCTCTCTCTCTCTCTCTCTCTTCGGAGACAATCACTCTACAGGTCCTTAAAAAATATATACCAATATCGCGAGAAAAGTACCGGAAAACATTAATTTATTTGTTTTTTGAGCCATAAATGAGATAGTTTTCAATTTATTATAAAAGTTTAACGATTAAAGTTCGATTCTATCTCCGTACAACATGCTATTTTTATGGGTAAAATATTAATAAGAGCGTTAAAGAATGTGTAATTTAAGAGGAGAAATCTATAAAAGATTCGTACCACGTTTAAAAAATAGTGGCTCGTTTTAAATTATTCACGAATTACACGCAATTTTGTAGACGTTTATAACCAAACCTACTCTTTTTTTTCGTATAAATTTCATCGGAGTTAGATTTTATAATGAAATTGTACCGGATTTTAAAGTTCCGAACGAAGAAATCTTGTTCGATATTTAAATTAGAGGCATTTTTAAGGAAATAAAGTAAAAGTTTCAACGGGAAATGGAGTTGGCTACGAAGTTATTCAAAGTTTGGATGCCGATCGATGGTCGCTGAGTTGTTTTCTTGCCTTCGTCTGGTACAGACTCGTGTTGTATTTTTAATTAGCCAAATATCCGGATGAAAAGATAAATAATTTTAATGAAGAAGAAAGAAATTACGATTAGATTCGGAAACGCCTATAACAAATTGTTTTAGATTTGTTTCGCCGCTCGGTTTGATCTTCTTTCCAGTTAATCGACATCCGAAAGAGAAGAGAGAAGACGTTTCCTCCTCTTCTTCAATTAATCCTCGTCTCTGGTGACCGAAAATAATTCAATCGTTGTAAATGCATAAATTTATTTTTAATTTTTCGCATTCTTTTAAAGGAGTTTTAATTTGAATCTTATTATTTTCGTCCGGGTTACCAAAAATCCTTCGGAATGCCCATAGAGATTTTACATCTTCCGTTATGTCGTACGTGTTTTATTCAACAAATTTAACTATTTGTTCACCTTGAATATGAAAATTATCTTGTTTGATACCTTAACTGCACGTAGAAAAGACCGGGACTAGTGGTTAACAGAGGCAAATTTATAATGGTTTCTGCGGCTCCTGGCCATCCGAGGATCGCCTCTCCCCTATAGTTTGGGGGTTTTCAGCGCCTAATGGTCAGTGAAATGTATGATAGCCGCGAAGATTCTTGTCATTTTATATTCTCAATATAATTTCTTTCGGTTGTTCAGTTTATCCGGCGAGATTAGATTAAAGGTAAAGGGCCGGTTGGGTACCCTTTTGACGTGTGCTTATTTACGTTTTCTCTTTAAATAATGGTGCCAACGTACGAAAAAAATTGGTAAAGGACGTATTTTATTTAATTTTATTAGGTGCGGTATTAATATCAAACGGTACCGAAAATCATATAACATTAAAAATTAACTTACATAAGTAATATTAAAATACTTATGCTTTTCAGTTTTATATTTTACTTCATCATTTGTTTTATTAACAGATATTACATGTAAGGGACAAAATATTTTCCATAATACACTAGTAATTTGGTATATCATAGTCCTTGGGATCCAAAAAATTTGATTGCATTCCAAGGAGGAACTTTTTCTACCACATTTGTGAACAGCTGGTGTCCATGGTGGTCATTGTTTATGAACTTACCATTTACCCATAGTTGAATATCCCTAATATCCAATTTGGTTTTTTCTGTATCCATTCATTGGGTAAAACTGTGATTGTGTAGTGACAAGTACAAAATATTTCAGATTGATCCAATTGATTTTTGAAATGTGCTGTTCTCTTTTTAACTGCCAGTTTAACTCAATAGTCTACAATATAATGAAATAAAAGCAGAATCTGAAGCTGTTTTGAGTTGTAAGTTGGTCCATGTTCTATTTAGCCACTTACAGGAAGCTTTTATTCTTACAAATGCATTTCAGGATAAGGCTCATGAATGCTTAGGTCCAAAAATGCATTTGTAAGAATAAAAGCAATAGAGAAATTTGTATTATTGGTATTATGGAATATATTATGTTCTATATATACAAAAATAATAGTTACTAATTCCCTTTAGATAAGATATTAAAATATTTGTTTTTGAGAACTACATAGGCTGATTTTTTTTTCAAGTTCTGTGGTCCATTAAAAAAAGACAAGTGTATGTAACAAAATGAATTTATTACCAAAAGTTAGGTACAAACATGGTTACTTTTCGACATAATCACTGTGAAGATTGAGGAATTTGTCATATTTATGGACAAGCTTTTCCATCTCCTTGTCATAGAATGTTGCTGCCAATAACTTGAGATGGGTCCTAACATTTCTTTGAATATCATCATTAGTCTTGAACCTCTGTGCTCCTAGCCACTTTTCCTGTTCAGGAAAGAGGTGGAAGTCACTCGGCGCTATAAGCTGGGTGTTTAAAGGTGGTGAAGACTTCCACCCAGCTTAAAACTTTTTAATGTGTGAAGACTTCCACCTCTTTCCTGAATTGAAAACATGGCTAGCAAGGCAGAGGTTTGAAACTAATGAACTAATGACGATCTTCAAAACAGTGTTGTTAATGCCATCTCAATTCATTGGCAGCATTCTATGACAAGGGGATGGAAAAGCATGTCCATAAATATGACAAATTCCTCAATCTTCACAGTGATTATGTCGAAAAGTAACCATGTTTGTACCTAACGTTTGGAATAAATTCATTTTGTTACTTACACTTATCTTTGTTTTATGGACCATCGGAACTTGAAAAATAAACAGCCCTTGTATAATATTATTTGTCTGTGTCTAATACAGAAATGCCAACTACTACAGATTTTCTGTAGTTTCTAATGAAGTCATGTGTAAATAGTGGACTTGCAGATAACCTGTAAAACTATGGAATGATCTTTTATACTCTTGAAAAGGTGCATTAATGCAACATCATATATAGGTGCTCTTGGTCCATGTGGAACCACCAGTATGTCAAATCTCAAACCAAGAATGTGGAATGTACAAACAGTGAATGCTTCCAGTTTGCAAGTGGCTAACTAAGGGTCTGTCTAAGAATTGTTTCTTTGCATGAACAAGTTGTACAGTTATGATAAAACGTGTTAAAAATGACACACTTGCATCTAAAAATAATGCCTGCCCTTCTAACATGATTGAGTATGCTGCAAAGTCTATGTAAACAGACCATGTAGTGTGTGTATGACATAGACAAAATGGTGAATTCTGTCAATTATATGAATTTTATTCTATCAAATGAGAAATATAAATTTGAATTTATTTCAAAAATTNTGTCTTTTAACGCATTGTATATAATTTAGTGTTTTGTTCGGAGTTAATATCTAATAAAATGTATAATAATAAAGTAGAAATTAATCTAGGTAAGAGTTATACGGCTTTAAATAACTGGAAAAAGTTTGTTTTTTGAATCCAATTTTCGACACTCGTCGTCGTCAAGTCTACGTAACTTATATCTTGATATTCACGCTCTTCTTCTCTATTATTATCTTCATTATTCATAAGTTATCTTTGTTTTTCATTCTTATTTCAAACACAATCTTCATTTTCCGCTTGCATTCTTCTCCAATTTCTTCGCATTAACTTTATTTCTACATTATCTATTATTACAGTCTCTCTTCTCCTTTTTTTTAAATTTTCTTTATTCATTCCCTTCCTTTTCATCTCCCGATTCAATCTTCTTTCTTTTATCACAAGATTTTCTTGGAAATTTTCTCGTGAGATCTTCAAGTTGCGCTCAGACTTTATGGTTTTTTTTAAGCGATTATTTGATTACTTTTACCTGTATAGGTCATTAATTGCTCCCGTATAGGTGATACGTCTATTTTGGCTATCGGAGAAAGATCGTGGGTAAGCGGAGATTGTCGCCTTGGAAACGACAAAACGGATCAATCTTCATCAATTCTTAGCGATGCGCGAGGGATGCTTAATTAAATTTCAGGAGCGGTTGCCATCCCGACCTTAAATCGCACCTTTAAATTGGAAAAGTTTAAATATTTGCATTTATCGAGTGTGATTTCGTCACGCGGTCTTCTCCGTTATTTCCGGAATATGGAAAAATCTTCATCCACATCTTCACGTCGTTACATTACGGATCGAAACGACGTATATTTGGTTAGTAATTGTCGATTGGAAATGACGAATCGTCATCTATCGCCACGCGATAACGAAGAGCGATAATTTAAACTATGGTTAAAATAAGATAAAGATTTAATTTTATCCATTGTTTGGTTCGATTTCTGAATTTTGTCAAACGTTCTTCTTAATTATCTCGTCGTAAAGAATTGTTAGAACAAAGGAAAGAAAGCTGTAACTAGGCGTAAAGAATCTACAATCCTTCGTCGAAACAATGCTAAACGAGTTGTTTACACTTCCAAATTACACTTCCAAAACGAATAGGATTAGAGGAATTTTAGTAAATCCCAGAATCGTAGTTAAATGTGAACGTGAAATATTTATTTCTTCTTAATGGTGATCTTTCTTATTACGTGATCGATACGCGAAGAAAATGGCAATGGCGGATTTAGATGTTTGCGCATTAATCCCTAAAAGATCTTTTTAAAACACACAATTCTCTAAAGAGAGAGTCAAACTTTTCTCGGTTCTTAAGGAATCAAATAATATTTCTGTACGAATCTGGGATTTTCTTTCTACAAACAACGAATTTGTACGAAAGCATTGCCGATAATCAACATCACCATTCAATAGTTACGCCGAATTACTTCGATCAAATGAAATTACTATGAGATTTGGACCATCACCACTAATCCTTCTGAAAATTAATACGAATTCCCAAACGGTATGAATGACAATGCAACAGGTTACGGGTTACAAGAGAATTCTCCCAACGAAATATTCCGCCAAATTGTATTCCATAAATCCGCATACAATCGTATCGTGTCTGACAAAACACTCTTTCATTTAAAACACTAGTCAATCAGATCTATCGTCGACGTTTTTATAAATTTAACAATACGTGACACAATCGTTTCCTATATTATTCATAAGGGAATTAAAGGTTATCGATAAATTCTTTAATACTTTACGTACAGTATCGATTCATTTACCTCTTCCGTTCGATACGGTTGCTCGGAAACCGTTACAGAGGGATAAGAGATGAGGTTATGTATCAAATGTTGTACATCGTGTATTACATTGGATACGATTATTAATTGCTCTAGAATACAGCAGAATTATGTATCCAAAAGTTTCGTGGCTTTCGGCTTAAATTGTGACTAAAATCGATAGGAATTATCTACCAGAATCGCTTCTTTTCTATAAAAATCTTCAATAAATTATATAATTTTTTCGCACGACGAAATAGGAGAAGATAAAGTCTTTCGCCATTAGTCTAATATTAAACCAATTGAAAGTGTATATTAACGTTATTTCTCTTACTTTCAATCCAGAATTGATTTATTAGAATGCAACGGGATGCTACCTCCTTCTTTCAAATCTTTTCCATCACCAGAAAGATGAATGTTTCTTCCAATAATTATCTGTCAATTCTGCGAGATAAACAAGTTCGGTTCTTCTGAAAATTTAAAAAAAAAAAAAAAGATTTTTTTCCTTGTTTCCTGTCCAATTGTTTATAAATAATTTTAGAATTAAATTACAATAATATTTTTAATTTTATTAATACTAAAATATGCGATAATTTCTTTAACGTCGTTTGTTTTCTATCGTCTTTTGGTAAAATTCCGAAAATTTTTTTTATAAAATTTAACTGTGATTGGTTGTAAAAGCATTCAAATCTAGCAATGAGTTGCCTAACTTTCCCGGAAAAAAATATACACAATTGAAATTGCCTGCGGTTCCATGTGTTAGGTGATTGTGATAAAAAAATAGCTTTTATATTATTAATTATTATAAAATGGAAAAAAAAAGCTTAATTTTGAGGTTAGAGATGGATTTTTTTAGTAAAATTTTAAAAGCTAATAAAGGGTAAAACTCAAAGTCCGAGTTCACTCGAGGTATCGACGATACACGCACACACACGTCCTGTTTTTGAGCTTTTTTGGGGGGTTGGGGAGGTTTTCAATGCGAAGATATGCAAAAACAATCGATTCTAGGAATATTTTCTACAAAATCTGTACGAAATTTTGACTAAGAAGGGAAGGAGAAGAATCGTCAGTTGTTTAAATTATTGACTTCTCGAGTATTTCATCTCGATTAAGATAAATTAGCGACAAGTGTATTAAAAGAGAAGACTTTAAGTAGACAATATGCAAATTAAAATTTCGAAATATTCTTAAAATTTTAAATATTTACACTTTTAAATCCTCTTTCCAATTTTAATTAATCGTTTGACGTATTTCTCTCTCTCGAAGATTATCAATCCAAGTTATTCCTTCAGGCTGCTTTCTCTTCGTGTGGGAAATTTTCTCGTGAGATCTTCAAGTTGCGCTCAGACTTTATGGTTTTTTTTAAGCGATTATTTGANTTTATAAAGTAAATCTTTAAAAATAATTACATAAATATTTAATATATATATATATAATTAAAATTAAATAAATGAAACGAAACGAAAAATTCTAATCGGATAAACGAATGGATTGGAAGAGGATGGTAAAAAATCGCTTATGTTGGAAATTAAACTGGTTCTACAGAATTATTATTTTTGGCAAAATGTTATTAAGTTTTTGACGTTTAAAAAGTTATTTTTCCATATTTAATTTTATTACTTTTGAGAAAAGGAGAAGGTTTTTCTTAGTCTTGGTGTTTGGAGTGTTTATATTAAAATCTTTTCTGTATTTGGAAGTATATCGAGTAACAAAACGTTTCTTTACCGGAAGTTATTTATCAGATGTGTCAAATATTTTCTTATATATTAAATTATTATTTAGAAATATAATACTGAGACTTTTTTCTTCTAATTTAGCACGTCTTCCTTTAAGAAGAACTTCCACTTCTTACGTTCTCGTATGTATAACTTTGAATAATTTATCTCAATTTTTTCCGAAATTTTACTTATATTTTTCAAATTTTCTCTGTATTTTTATGTATTTTCCAAACGTTTCCTTATTATTCTTTTAGTTATAAAGTTTGGCAATATTTACCCGTGTTTTTTCTGGCAACTTTGAAGCAATTTCGGATGAATACAAGCGGATTTAAATATGGAAAATAAAAAGTAATTTTTGATACGATTTAAATCTACGAATAGAATTTTTACATTCGTTTATCTTATAATAAAAACGTTTATATAAACAGAATTTTGAAGGGAATATTTTGTATAGTTCTTAATGTAATTTTTATCATTAACATACGTATGTGACAATACATTTTAACGAGGAAAAATATACTCTTCTATTAAGATTTACTTCACATTAACATTTTCGAATTAATTACTTAATTCTATTGTTGTTTTATAGATAAGAAAATTACGAAACATTCTCTTAAATCTACGAATTAAATTTGATGTTTTATTCGAACTTTTCTATTCAGAAAATACTCAGAAGATAACGAGAAACTAAAGAGAATACAGTCGACCCCCTATAACACTGTTGATTTTACCGTTTTATATGAATTCCGTGTTGTACGAGTCACTTAGATTTTACAAATACGTGTGCCGGACTGTGAACAGCTCACGTATTTATAAAATCTAAGTGACTCGTACAACATAGAATTCATATAAAACGGAAAAATCAACAGTGTTATAGGGGGGTCGACTTGTATAATTATGTATTGTATGTAAGATAAGTTGAATCACATTCGACGTTTTCTTCTCACATTTACAATAGAAAAAAAAAAAACACTTTTATCACTTCCGGATAAGTTAGAGAAAATCGTTGAGTAAGTCATTGGATTTTATGGAATTGCACCCTAAAATATCGTATTAATTCGTATAAATTCCATTAAAGAAACTACAGATTATACGAGTCAAAATGTGTCTAAAGTGACTATAAATTCTAAGGTATAAAAGTGTTGACGATAAGAAATTTTAATTGTAATACGGAATTAAAAATTGACTGAATTAAGGAAGTGACATTGTCCACTAAGTAGAAAGTCGAGTTAAGTTAATTACTAGGTAGATGTTCATCGAACACCTTTTTTAAAATCAGAATTAGAGCTGTGTTTTTTTTTGTTTGGTAATTAAAAACCAATTGTTCGCTTCTTATCGTGTATTTCGTATATTTTTATTACTGTTTCTACAGAGTTTTATGCGCAATAACTGTAAAGTTTTAACGTCTAATAACTGTAATAATACTTTCTTGTCGTCGAGATTTATAGGTATTTCACGTACTGTACTTTTATAATGTAAATTTGTAATATTACCCATTGAATTTTTATGTATGTTAAGATAATTAAGTGCTTCACATTTTAACAATTGTAAAATATTAATTTTATTCGGTAGACTTCATCCAATCGTAGAAAACAAACAAGGTAATAAAGTTAATAAACATTCCCTTAATTCATGTTTAGGGATATGAATGTTTAGGGATAGAAAAGGAATGTTAAGGGGATGTTTAGGGATAGAAAAGGAATGTTAAGGGGATGTTTAGGGATAGAAAAGGAATGTTTAGGGATATGAATGTTTAGGGATAGAAAAGGAATGTTAAGAGAATGTTATTTTTAATCTTATGTTTTATTCGAACTTTTATATTTAAAAAAATCAAAATTTTTTGGAATTTTTTGAAGGGAATAAAGCGGAACTTTATATAATACACACAAAACGACGTAAAAACAAATATAAAAATACTTTTTTATACGATAAAAAGTTAGATAAGAGCACGTTTATTTTAACTTTAGTAAACGTTTTACGGGAGTAATTCCAAAAGTGGAATTCAAGTTATCCTCATACTAGACGTAAAAAAAATTGCCAGAAATTTGTTTTCTTCCTCTTTTCGTCTATTCAACTTTCATTATAACAGAGAAGTACGAAGAGAATGTTTATATAATCATAATATATCGGCAGGAAAGCGTTATAGTTGTTTTTTTTTCCTTTTTCTTTTCTTTTTAAGCAGGAAGAATTTTACTCTCTGTCATAATAAACGGCTCGTAAATTTACTTTTTGTTCCACTCCATTCATATTTGTTTTCTTTTATTTTCGGTTTTGAAATGCAAAATTCTAGAATAAATCGTCAACCCTTCTTTCTTATTTGATTTATAACATTGAAATGTCGAAAGAAGATTGAAATTCCTTTGAAATGATAACGATAAAACAGGAAATTGTAGTTTTGTTTTTACCCTTTCGGTCCATGTTTTTTTTTCAAATAATCGAAATAATTCAGATAGGAAGTGATCAATTTGAATATTTTGTTTATTTAAATATGAAAATAAAGTAGAAATGCCTCTCTAGAATATGTCATGAAGAGAGTCGAATATACTTTATTGTCAGTTTTTACCTTTTTGTTAAGATTAAATTTACTTAAATCTACAAGTTTTAAATTTAATAAATAACTTTCTAATTAATTACAATTATAGGAATCAATATTTAAGAGAAAATGCTAATTGTTTTAGTGTTTACGTTCGATAAAGAAATGAGAGATTTCTCTTTAATAATGAATGCGAATTCAAAGATCGGTTCTTCATTCATCTTCATAAGTATTAAAGAAAATCTTTCTAGCTTACTATATAATGGAATTTGAATAATATAGAAATTATTCCATTGTATCTCGGTGGTAAGGCACGTAAAGTAAACAAACCCTCGTTTATTATACAGTGGTACCTCGTATAACGTACGCCTCGAATAACGGACGCTGCGAACAACGGACTTTCTACGAACAAGTGCGAATGATGTTTCCACTCGTTTGCCCTTGCCAATGACAATCTGCTATTTTTATAATATATTCGTATTATTAGTATATCTGAAGTACAGAGCTCCCGTTGGGATTCGGCTTGCTCTCTTGTTTATTACGTACTGTACATCACCTCAGTATAGGGTATTTACATTTACTCAAGTTTTGTGCAAATCATGGCTTCTAAAAAAACAGAAAGGTGATTTCAATTGAAACAAAGCAAGAAATCATCAGAAGGAGTGAAAGTTGACAAAAACTTCCTTGTCAAATGGGGAGAGGTTCAGGAGTTTACTAACACTCATTATCCAAACAGAGCTGAGGCCAACAGGATCAATGATCTCTACTATGACACCCTTGCCCGTCATTTCCGACAAGTGTTGAAGAAGAGAGAGAAACAGACCACCTTGGACATGTTTTTCAAGAAGCCAGTAAGGAAAAAATAAAGGATGGAACAAGAGGAGTTGAACCTGCAAGCTCCGGTAGCCTCTTCTAAATCTGACTCCAATTAAAAAACAATAAAAAGAGACCCGCTGCAATGTGCAAAAAGTCTGTATCTGTATGAATGTGTGAAGAAAGTGTTCCTCCACCTCCTCACAACATCTGACTACCGGCATAATTGGTGACTGCTACAGTTTCATTTGTTTATGGTACAGTTATTTTATGCTGCGGAACGAATTATATGTTTTAACATGTATTTCTATGGGAAAATGCGTTTCGTATAACGGACTTTTTCACTTAACGGACGTGCACCTGGAACGGATTAAGTACGTTATACGAGGCACCACTGTATCTTGAAAAAGAAAAATAGTAAATACTTCGTGTCAATTTATTTAACTATAATTTACATCCCGTTCGTTTTAATACGCGATTAAATACTTAATAAAAAGGTAATGTATATTCATTACTACTGAATAACAAATTAGATTTTATAGTTGTTCGAACGAACGAGGAATACACCGCACGCAATATTTGGGTATAATGTAAATACACAACAATTCAAAAATACAATACTCATTAATTTATGTGTAGGTTTCTTAGACCTATTTATTATATAAATTCATAAGAAAATGTGGAAAAAAATATTATTTTCTGTTAATAAATATATTCGAGTAATTGAATATCTTTTGTTTTTTTTTTCCTCCCCGTTCGATCGATAACTACAGCCGTTTGAAATANTTTCTTAGACCTATTTATTATATAAATTCATAAGAAAATGTGGAAAAAAATATTATTTTCTGTTAATAAATATATTCGAGTAATTGAATATCTTTTGTTTTTTTTTTCCTCCCCGTTCGATCGATAACTACAGCCGTTTGAAATATTAAATTTACAATATGGAATAAGCCGTAGAAAGTAATACTCTACGACATTATGACCTTTGAATAATGCGAAGGTCGTCTTATTTGTTATTTTCTTCAGTCTTTACGATAGAATATGTTTCTTGCCTCTTTGCCAAATTATATATATAAGTTTTTATATCGTCTTCTCTATTATTAAAAGAATTTCTAGTAAATATCGATTGTTTAATTTTATTATTCGTTTCAATTATGTTCTATTTGGATGAAATAAACGTTTTTCTTTTAATAAAATTATACATCTTTTTAACTTTCTTTTATGATAAAGTTAATGGAATGATATAAATGCAAATCACATTCTTTAACTTTATTAATATTCTATGTAAATAAATTTAACAAATTCAATTTATAATATTTATATAAAAGATAAATAAATGAATAAATATAACGTCTTAAACTATCAATTTATACACTCGATTAGAGACGAGCCAAATATTACTTTCCTCCAATTCACCTTATCTTATTGTCTCTACGTAAAATATTCGTCACTAAAGGGGGTGAAAAATACAAAATTCTCTTATTCTTAATTAATTATAAATATAAAAATGAAGCGAGTGACTTAATATTATATTGTAAGAAGCAGAACGAATTAAGAAAAAATTAAATTACAAAATTAAACTATAAATTAGTTTTAACAAAGAACCTCGCCATTTTTTCATTGTTCGTCGAAATTTTCCCAGGGAGGATATTCATCCTTCCGTCTCCGGAGTAACTTCCTTTCCTACCGGAACTTGCCACTGAATCACCCGGATATTATACCAAAAAAATCTACAATTGATGAAAATCGACCACGAGACCCGAAGGTATGAGAGGAAAGGTAACGCTCGAAGGGGGGGGGAAGAGTACGCCTTTCGCGATCTAAGATCTCCTCGCCGTCGCCGACCAAGAAGTCCGAGAACCCGAGCTACCCCAGCTACCCGATTGAATCAAGCACAAAGTTGAATCGTCCAGAGGTATGATCATATACAGGTAACCCCGTATAACACGGTACTTTTATAGCACGGATTCACTCTGACACGGTTCGAGAATTGGGTAAAACCATCGTACAACAGGAAATGTAATAAATTTTTACATACTTAACTAATAATAGTTCACGAAAATAATAATTTTCGTGAACTATTAGTACTTAAGTATGTAAATTTTCTCTTCTCGCCTTCTGTCGATACACGTGGTCCTTCTCGAAACTTGTTTCAATGTTGCCAGATCGCGACGCTTCTGCTTCTGATGTTGCCGAATGTTTTTCCCTTATTCCATACTTGCTTTATTCTTCATAAGTGCTTAGCACCATATAAGGAAATTTATAAAGACCTTTTAACTAGAAGCAAGCAATCTAAAATTACATACATTTTGCAAAAGGTAAAGCATGGATCTGAAGATAATGCAGAAAAATGCTCAGAGGATAAGGATAACTTGCCAAAAAGAAAACGCTCTCGGTTAATTAATAGTGTTTTTAGTGATGACGAAGAAAACATTGTTTAATTTATATTAATATGTATCACTTAAAAAAATTTTAATGAAGATATTTATCTTAATTATGAAAATATACTAGCATGTTTTTTAATTTTTGGAACCTAACCCTCCTTTTCGTATTAGTTCTTTGTTTCGTATAACACGGATTCGCATAACACGGCAATTTTTTGGAACGTAACTACCGTGTTATACGGGGGTTACCTGTATTGTAAACTCTCTCTCGGCGCGGTCACTTCGAATTACGCGCGAATAGTTAATCCCTGTATGTTAGAATAGTGTTGTCTCAATAAATGTTTGTTTTGTGGTTAAAAAGTCGTCTTTAATTCGAATATCGTTCACGCCTTACCGATGACCCCTCTCACCTCCTCTACTCGACCTGACAAAAGAATCCCGACTTTTCGGGATATAACAACCATAAACAAGCCATCCACTGACCAGTGGTCAGTTCTCATCAAACTGTTGCCTATCAAAAAGGGGTACGACTTCGTCCTACCTCAGGGTACCTCACAGTATCTTTAGTACACAATAACAATATCGAATTAATATATTATTACGGCATCTGGTCGAATACTCTAAACAATTTTAATCCAATGGTATTATTTGGAATGTAGTAAAATCTGTATGGTAATTAATTATTATATCCTAATCCCATTGTCATCGTAAATTCAATATATATAATGTATATAGACTATATAGGCCTATATAAGGCTCGTATCTGTCTTCATGTCGGGATACAAAATTAGGCTATAGCCTATATTTAATTGTTATTAGTGTAAAAAATTTTCGGTATATTCTTTAAAATATAACCCGTGTTTATCTTGTGTTTTACGAGAGAATTTAAGTGGTATATTTTTTGTATAAACGATACATTAATTAATTTATTGTTTATCACATTACTAACAATTAATGTTGTTTGTTCTTATCATTTTATTGACATTTTTATTACGATTGGATGTAAAAAAAAAATAACTAAATTAAAGATATTTAAAAATATTTTAAGAACGTATCTAAAATGTCTTTTCGTTGCCATCGAAGGGCATTAATTCTCTAAGGGATTTGACCTGATGTTTGGCCTTCTTACCATTGCATTTTAAAGTTAATTGAAGTAATAAATAAGAGGTTTATCGTGACAATTTAACGTCGGAATGAAAATTGAGATGATAATTTTAACAATTTATTAAAGATTAAGACATTCGAAATTTAAAATAGAAGCTTTCGTTACCGAATTTTCATTTAATACACAGAAATGAACCACCCGAAAAACATTGAAAAGCCCTATTCACATAGAAAGAGCGTGTTTCCTATATCGAATTTATTAGATTTTATGTTTTTTTCCGATTATAGGACAAGACACGAACATAATAATAATATTATATCCACGTCTCGATGTCATTCGGGAGATGTTAATGGTATATTAATGGAAATGGTGGACAGCTCCATTCGAATTCAATTGTGTATGATCCTTTTCATATCGTTTCTATCAGGAAATATCGTTACAACGGAAGATAGGAAACTATTTTTTAAATTAAATTTTAGTTTGAATCGAGAAGAAGAGCAAATTCTGCAATAAATTACCCATTTTGTATCATTCTCTATTTCTAAAAATACGTTCTTTTCATATTTTGTCTTCGTTTGTTACTTAGCAATTGATTTAATATAAAGAATGGAATTCCTATTATTAACTTTTCTAACACTTTTTTTCTTTTTTGAATCTATTTTTTACGAATTTCTTTCATTTTAAACCCTTTAAAATATTCTAAAGTGTAATTTATTTTGGCTTTTATTCACGAAATTCAACTTTTCATCTTCATTACTTTTATTAACAAATTTGATTATTTTCTAATTAAATTTCTATAATATAGGTCAAGGATGTTTTAAAATTGTTTGCTAATTAACTGGACATTGATTAGAAAAAAAATTAATTAAATATAATAAATGCATTGAAATTTTAGAAACGTTGTTTATACTTTTTGCATTGTGTTTGTATATCAAACTCTTTAAGTTACATGGTAATGTTTTCTATACTTTAAACAAACGAAAAGGGGGGTAGAAAATACGTGGCATGTGTATATTTAAAGACTTCGTCCGTCTGTTCGACTTGTTTTGATGTTAATTAAGTACTCGTTAATGTTTTAATTAATTTATAAATGAATTCTTTCGTGAGAGTTTTGTTGCTTTCTTTTGGAAAAGTCGAACGTCTCTCGAGAATTTTATTATTAATTATTCTATTAACAAAAAAAAA